ACAGACTAAAAATCTCGAAAGCCATAAAACTCATCAACGATGAAATCGAAAGGGTATGGCAGGAGAGATGGCAGTCAGCCACAAATGGCAGGAGAACGTACTGCTACTTCCCAGTAATCAAGGACAGATTAAAGAAGAGGTGGCTAAATCCCAATCATTACACAGTACAGTTCATGACTGGACATGGTGCTTTTAAGACATACCTCCTCAAGAGAGGATTATGCGAAGACCAACTGTGTAGCTGTGGAGAAATAGAAAGCGAAAGTCATATTCTCTTTAACTGCGAAGATATAAGGGAACTAAGAAAGCCATTAATAGAGGCCGTTGAAGAGGAGGGCCACACATGGCCATGCCCGGAAACGACCCTAGTATCTAGCAGGAAAATCTACAAAGCCTTTGAAGACCTTGTTAGAAAAGTCATAGAGCCCAGGAAAGGAGCACCAATAACAAAGAGAAAGCGTAGAAAAATAATTACAAACTATGGTAGAAAGACGCCGCCTCTTACAAGGTCCCTAACCAAAGGACCAAATCTCGCACAATAACCTAATTTTTGAACCTACACAAGCATATAAACTTAAAATTTGAACGATAATTTTGAACATTGAATTTTAGAAATAATCTCTGAAGTTCGACAATTTGAACGCGAATTACCCTATTTAACCTGATATCGGAGTTTTGAATTGAATATGTGGCATGATCGGCATGAATACTGAAAACTGCCTGGGGATTCGCCTTGTCGGCTAGACGAGACCCCGCCCTGACCTAAAAGTCAAAACACCAAATCGAAAGAGCAAACATCAGTATCAGCCAGTCATAAAAGCCACTCTTTTGAAAGCGGAATCCGACGTTGGGATGAAACCGGGAAACAACCTTTTCGAATGACGGATACCCGCCAGCATGAGCGGGGATGACTGAAACGCAATGGGAAGACGTGCCTAGGTACGTCGAAACGATGGACCAGTGAGTCGTGGGAGAAATCCCTTAATACAGGTACGCAGGGTGGGATGTTTTTGAATAAGCCCAGGAGGGGAGGCTTAGCTGGCTGTTCGTCTTAGGAATTTCCTCTGACTGTCCTAGCTGGGTCTTTCTTCTGACATCCCAATTTGGGTTGGCTTCTGCGGGGTAGTGGTACCAGGTCAAGCAAATCTCGTAAGATTTGTATGCTGCGTGCTTCCGACGCGGCAAACGTCGGGGCAACTAGAGTCCCATCGTGCCCAAACCGCGGGTCAAGCCTTTAGTTCCGCTCTCCTTCAGCGTTGAACCTTGAAAAGATCGGTACTCCTTTCGAGGAGGTTGCCGCCTTAGATTAAAAAGGTTCCGACTCGCTGTGTGCGTCAGGGATGTCGTAGGAAACTTGACTTCCGGATCTCCAAAAATGTTTGAAAGCGAAGGAGTGAAAGACAGTGGGCTATGCCAAACTGTTGGTGCCCAGCTAGAAGGGTGATAATGTTTGATTACGCTGTGCCTCCTTCAAATCGGAAAAGTGTGACACACATAAACACTAACTGTTCTTTCTGCAGTCACATATCCACGGACGCGCGAAGGCCTCTATCGAGGAACTGCCATCGACTGAAACCCGACCGCGACCGCGTGGGCCGCCCTCAAGTCTCGCTACGACCAACGATGACTGCTCATCCATGAGCAGATAAAAGCGCTTCCCCGCCTGCGCACCGTCCGACAGCAGTCGGAAAAGGGACTGCAGTATCTGCTGGATGAGCTCAGACGCCATCGTAACCTGCTGCTCGCTCTCAGCCGACCAGTTGAGTCATGACACGACTGGTTTGTCTATCTTGGCTACGAGGCGATGGATGGCAACACCCGACGAGCCTGGGAAGAGTTCATCGAGGCAAAGGAGAGAGATGACCGCGACATCGACTCCACATTCGAACAGTTATCAGACTTCCTCGGCGGCCGGCGCTATCTCCAACGGATCCACTCCCGTACCATGCCTCACCAAAACTCACGCCACCGCCGCCCAGCGAGGTTACCCCGCGTGCAAGGAAGCGCACTACATCGGGCATTGCTTCACGTTCCGTGGGATGGAGCCCAACGAGCGTCTCCGCCTCGTCACGGATCGTGGCCTTTGCTATAACTGCTTGAGCAGCAGCCACACCGCTCGCAGTTGCCCGTCAACATTACCCTGCCGAAATTGTTCCGGATCTCATCACACGCTGATCCATGACGACGCTGATAAGCGACCCACTCAACGCGACCAAGAGGATCCAGAAGCGAAACGAACAAGGACCCAAACACAAATAATGGTCAAGCAAGAGAGTCCCACTCGCAAGTCGAAGTCCGCATGACTATCGATCTTGCCCACCGCTGTAGTGACTCTCAGCGGCCTCAGCTCGAGGAGAGAGAGCGTTCGAGCGCTGCTCGATCCGTGCTCCGACGATACACTCGTCTGCCTTGCCATCGTCCGACGCCTCAATTACAGCCTTCGGTGTTTCAACGTTAGAGTTACGGCCGTATCCGGTACCGTCATGGACTCCGCTCGCTTCCAGAAGTTCATCCGCCTCATCGACCCATCAACCAACTGCCACTGGAAACTCGATGCCCTCGTACTGCACACCATCGGCATTATCACGCCGACAGAGACGTCGGAAACCGCACTGACTCTCATCGAGGATCGGCTACCGCTTGCCGATCCATTCTTTTACGAGCCTTGACCGATAGACATCGTGTTGAGCGTCGATGCTTATCAGCGAGTCATCAGGCCTGGAGTTGAGCGATATGCTAGCGCAGCGTACGGTGTTCGGATGGACGCTTACTGTAGCCAGCGATCGCAACGCCGACCGCCGCTCCTCCAACAGTCATGTGAATACGTCCGCTCCAACTCATCCCACCCCAGACACTGGCTACGAATAATTGCTTAGTCTGGTTTAACGATTCTGGGAGACGGAGGAGGTACCAAACGTTAACAGGGTCTCGGTTGCCGACCGCAAGTGCAAGGAATTATATGCGAGCGGCCATTCGCGGGACTCTACTGGACGCTACATCGTCCCCCTGCCTGTCAAAACCGAGGTATTGGGCTTGCTCGATGACGGACTGCCACAAGCTCGGGCAGCACTCGCCTCACTACATCAACGAATGCTTCGAGATCCTGACTTGCAGATCTACTACTGAAGGTTCATGAGTGAGTACCTCCAACTAGGCCATATGCGACGCGTATCACTTATTGAGCTGGCCCATCCATCCACATCAGTCCACTACATTGTGCACCACGGCATTTGGCAGAAGGGTGACAATGAACGCAAGCTGAGGGTAGTGTTCAACGCCTCCAGACCCACTGTCACCGGCCGCAGCCTGAACGACGCCCTCCATGCAGGCCCAAAACTTCAAAGCAGCATCTTGTACGTCCTCAGCCGCTGGAGAAGATACAGGTACGCCTTCTGCGCTGACGTTAAAGTGATATTTCGTAAGATCCTCGTCGCTAATCATCACGTGCACCTCCAACGTACCCTCTGGAGCGTTTCGGTTGGATGCAATTCTCCACAGAAGGGCCCGTCAACAAGCTCGGGGTGGCCTAGGATTCCGTCAAGGACCAATTTAAGTTCCTGTTTCCTGCAACCGAGGTGGGAACCCTCCTCACCAAGAGTTAAGCTCTGGCCGAGCTGGCCCGAGTTTTTGATCCACTAGGTTGTCTGACACCAGTCACTCTCGTGGCTAAGTTCGTCCTCCAGGACCTCTGGACGGCCAAACTCACCTGGGACGAAGAGCTTCCTCGGACCTGGGCAGACAAGTGGGATACGATAAGGGGCAGCCTGAGTTCCATGAGCGGCCTCGACATTTCTCGCTGGCTTGGATACATGCCCGGTCAATCCATCCAGCTTCACGCGTTCTCCGACGTCAGTCATCGCGCGATGGCCGGCGTCGTATACTCGCGTACGACCTCGGACGGCGGGCGGCCGACAGTCGGCATGCTCGGAAATAAGACTAAGCTGGCCTACATCCACCCACTCGCCCGCCCCTACGGATGACTATTCCGAGGCTCGAGCTCAGAGCCGCTCTCATTGCCTCACGATTGCTCGTCACACTGACACGCGCCCTTGATGTCCCTCTGTCAAACTGTCACCTGTGGAGTGATTCCAGGATCATGCTGTCATGGGTCCAATCGGACAAGCCCGTTGACAATGAGCTAGTCGACAATTATGTTGCCAAATCCACGAGTTCAGTTTTGGGGCCGTCTGGCACCACGGGCCCACAAAGGACAATCCGGCTGACATCGTGTCCAGAGGCGCAGACGCTCCCAAGCTAGAGTCATCCAAACTATGGTGGAACGCCCTGCATTGGCTTACAGATGATAAGAGTCGCTAGCATTCCTAGCCCGCTCACGCCTCGCATCTACCGCCCACCAACAATGAAGCTGCTGTTCAATCGCCAATCCTTTGTACGGCCCCTCAGACTCGTTCATTCACGCCTCATCACATCGACCATTTCTCATCGCTCTCAGGTCTTCTCCGCGGCACCGTTCACGCACGTTGGCTGCTCCGCCGTAAGCGCTGCGTCACCTCGGACCCTCTACCGGCGCCCATGATGCCACCAACGATCGCCGAGCTCAAGCGAGCCTTCATAGACTGCGTCAAGCTGACTTAAGCCATCACCTTCGCCCAGGAACTTGCTGATCTTCGATCATCATCACGTGACCTCCTTCGCCACCGCACTCTCCATCCACTGGCTCCATTTGTCGACGATGACGGGATCCTCCGTGCCGGCGGATGATTGACCCATTCACTGCTGCCATACGATGAGCAACGTCCACCTATCTTAGACGGCTCCTCCCATCTAGCCAAGTTGGTCATCCGTTGGTCTCACGAGTGCAGCCTTCACTCAGGGTTTCGTGCCACCTACGCCTGGACTTTCCATAAGGCCTGGATCATCAACGCCAAAGTGTTGGTGAAGAGGCACATCCGAGAGTGCACAATTTGCGCTCGCATTGCCGCTCGCACCGCTACCCAGGGCATGGCTCTACTACCGGCTACTCGTGTGACCACTCCTTCATGCCCTTTCGAGCGCTGCGTGCTCGACTACGCCGGCCCATTCCATCCAGCACGGCCAGTTTCCTAGGAGCCCTCACGAGGTTCGTTGGCAGGTACGGCCGTCTCACGGAGATCTGGATCAACAACGGCACCAATTTTCGCGGTGCTAACCATGAGCTCCAGCGATTGCTGAAGGCCGCTGAGATGGATTGGGAACTCATCAAAGGACACCTTGCCCTCGAGGGCACAGTCTGCAATTTCATCTTGCCTTCTGCCCCACACTTCGGTGGCCTGTGGGAGGCCGGCGTCAAGTCAACTAAAATGCATCTCCGCCGTGTCGCCGGCCCCTGGCGACTCACCTACGAAGAGTTCTCGACGCTCTTGGTTTCGGTGGAGGCTGTCCTCAACAGCAGACCCCTCGCTCCGCCATCCGGCGATTTAAGCGATCTTGATGCGCTCACACCAAGTCACTTCCTCATCGGCACCTCGAACACCTCTCTCCCCCAGCCTGCCGATCCTACTGTCAATCTAGAGCATTCCACGCACTGGGACCTAGTCAATGGGATGCGAGATCATTATTGAGCACGCTGGAGCAGAGAGTATCTCAACACATTACTACAACGGTCGAAGTAGAGGCGTCCCCAGCCGAACTTCAGGGTCGGTGATATCGTCCTGATCATCGACACCTCACTTCTCTACCCTCATGGACAGTGGCCGATGGGACGCGTCATTGCCGTTCACCCTGGAGCCGATGGACTTGTTCGGACCACCACTGTACGGACAGCCACCGGCGAGTCTATGCGGCCGATCGTTAAGCTGGCGTAACTCCCGCTGACAACATCATCTTCGGACGTTGCGTTACCTGCAGACTCCACTGCTGAATAACGGTTGCTTGGTTCTGGGAACGAGGCGGGCGGTATGTTTGGATTTCAGGATAGCCACCACGCATACTCTCCGCGCATGGTTGCTCCTCCCTCTATCCTCGGGCCCACTTCCGTCGATTCAATTGCACCCCTTTGAGTCTCAGCGTGTCGCATCGTCGTACGCAGACATGCGATAATCGATATTTTATTCGTATTGCGGTTACAGAGCAAATAAAGTCGTTGACATTTAAGTGATTGAGTGATTTATTCCCTACCTCAACGTCCTTCTCAATACAGCACTGTTCACTGCTTTCGCTATTGAAGCAGCTCTTCCAGCTAGAGTTCCAGTGGCGCTTAAAGCAGCAAATAATGGAATTAAAAAAAGAAGCGCTCCACCAACTTTACTTGGAATAGGTAAAATACAAGGTATATTTATTTTACTTCTACCACCGGCCTTCTTCATACCTTCTTTGGATCCTTTTATAGCCAAACGAATAATTACAAGAGATCGATTGTTAGGCACAACTTAATAATTTTATTCAATGTAACTGATGGCTTTTTTATTTTTCTACACTTCTTTCGTGCTTGGCGTTTTTTGAATCCTCTACCTCGTTTCTTATTACCTTTCTTCATAACAACACCCATACCAAGTTTAACGTTTATAATATTGGCTACGGTGAAAGGAGCTGCTTTCTCACCAAAACCACTATCTTTAGCTAGCACTCTTTCCCAAACTTCTTTAGCTAAAACTTCGTCAGCATTATTTCTTGTCGCAATATCCTCTAGATTTTGTGCATAAGCGATATCGTGTTTTTACAAGCAACGTCTAGTGAATTTTTACCAGGATCTCTACGCATCAGTCATTTGTTCAATTTTGTACCAAGACCATAATACTGATATCCAGGTAAGTGAGCTTCAATAGGCAACTTATTTATAATCTTGTTCACTAGATCACCACCAGTCTTTCTTTTATAGGACGTGATCATACTTTTTCGAAAGACAACATGTTAATGAAATAAAAGATATATAAGCAGTCTTTTTATACCTAACAAACTCATTCATTGAGGTATCGGTGACGAGTAAATAACATGGATTTCAAAGTACAGCCTCTTAAGCTCCAAGTCATTAATTTCGATGGAGTGGTAGAGACGGAAAAACAAAAAAAACATATGGTGAACTATTGCCTAATAGTATCCGTGCCGTTTTCTGCGGAACTAGTAATTGTGGAAAAACTAATTGTTTATTAACATTAATCACTCATCCTAATGGTCTTAGATTTGAAAACGTATATGTCTACTCAAAATACCTTAATCAGCCTAAATATAAATTTTTGAAAGATTTATTAGAGCCTATTAATGATATAGAGTATCATGCTTTCAGCGAGCATGAGACAGTTGTTTCACCAGATAAAACACGACCAAATTCTATCATTATTTTTGACGATATAGCCACTGAGAAGCAAGATAACGTAAGAGCATTCTTCTGTATGGGTAGACATAAAAAAGTAGATAGTTTCTATCTCTGTCAATCGTACGCTCGCATTCCGAAGCATCTCATTCGACAGAATGTAAAGGCTATAGCGGATTAACAATGTTAAAATTGCCTAAGAATGAATCGTTATCGGGGATCAGCCATCCGAAAGAGCATATTTTGAGGCTCTCTCACTTAAATTTTCAGACCCCTAGGTGGCAATATAGTGCCACAATCATAAAAAACTGGTTTTTGTGAAAATCATTTCTCCTGCTTTACTGTTTGCTCAAAAAATTCTGAAAAAATTCATGGATATTAAATTTTTTACTACAAAATAGCCCGATTTTTTTCAGATTTTTTGGATAAAAATCGGAGTCAGAAAAAATTATTTAAATTTTCAATGATTTTTTAGGTTATGAAGATCATATTTGGCTAACATCTACATAATCATTTTTCATGTATTTTTTCCCGTACTTTTGAATGCATTTATTCAAATTATCATATTTTGACCAGAACATGCTCAAAAACTGAAAAACCCGTTATTTTTCGCGTTTTTACCATGTTTATAACACATAACCTCAAAATTAGATACTTTGCTAGGTACTAAAATACCTATAAATACTCTAGAACGCTTTGCCTGTATGCAAGAATACCAAAAAGTAGTTTAAAAAAATTTTTCAACTCCTAAAAGTTCATACAGTCTAGTATTACTTCACTGTAACTGCAAAGAGCAAGACCAATCATTTGTGCCGTTTATTTTGAAAGTGACCTAACTCCGTTTTTCAATTTTCTGCCGCTTACAATGGTTACATGTACAACTTCATGTTATTCATCAGTGACGCACTTCAGATTGCTTATATTCAGAGAAAATACGATACATTTTTTACACATAAGTTTTCCGAATTAATTGAACGTATATTTTTAAATTCATTCTAACGCAAAACTTTCAATATCTCGATTTGAAGATAAATGGAGTCAGGCCACTTTCAAAATAAGCGGCTCATTTATGATTGAGACATTTTTGTTGCTTAAAATTAATTCAAACCTTAAAGCTATAAAACATTTTGAATTAAAATAGTTTGAACAATATAAGCTAGACATTTTTTTAACGAGCCTCTTATTATATTGACAATCTTGTGATCCACAAGTTATAGTTATCGTACTTAGTCATACGTATTTGGTACAACCCTTTATTCATAGTTTCATTGAATAAAACTTGTGAGATTGCATACTTGGATTACACATTAATATAATAACACATTATATTACACATTAATGATTAAAAAAACATTGAATTTACTTCTGTGAGCTTATGAGAACGTTTTAGCACAATAACATCAGTTGTCTTCTGCTACGTCAAATTATCTCGACGGCCTACTAAGTCGCCCGAAAAAACGCTCAGTATCACGCGGTGAGCTAACAGGTCGGCCTCAGAAAAAGTACTTTTTGGTCAGTGACCTACCCACTCACTCGATGGCACTACCGGGCTTCCATACTCCCCTCCCTCCCAGAAGAGCCTACGTAAACCTACAGCGCATGACAACGAATCGTTGGTACATCCTTGTTAGCCCAATCATGGCCGACGATTCTGACTGTTCCCTTCTGACTATTTAAATGGAACAAAAATGTACCTCAAAACTGAACGTGGATCCATTTCAAGTTTGTATTTTCATGACATTCAAGGCAAAAATTGAAGAATTCCGTTAGGCGCTTTTCAAAAAAATTGAAAAAACAAAAATTGAAAAATGTATTATATTTTGATAACATTTCATAAATAAATATCCTTATAGATATTTAAAATCTAAATAAAATGAGATATTCAGTTAAATTACTGAGGATAGATGTTTCATGAATCATGTATGATGGTATAATATAAATTATTATAATTATGATTAATATTACTATTATTATCTAAAGATATTATGACGATTATATTAAAAATGATTTCAATAAATTACGATATTTGACGGTTTTTTCATACTGAGTTTTTCTCTGAGGTCCGCCGTACTCGCTCTCTGCGAATATTCTGTGAGTACGTTCGACTATAGACTATAGTCCGACCATTCATCCGCCATCCGTTTGACACGTACGATGACCGTTGAGTGACCGCAGCACTCGCTGCAGTAAAAGCTACCTCCGCAACAGATTATTCTCGTATTAACACCTATAAGTACTTGGTGGTAACGATTGCATTTCAAATAGAAAACGAAGTCAGTAACAGTATATACATACCGACCTTAATGGATAAAAATTTTTGTTTTGTATTGTTATAATCAGTATTATTAGTAACGTTACAATTGTTACAGAGCATTATATTAATTTAGAAAACGAAGTCATTTTGCAGTATATAAGTAAATATTTGAATCTATTAAAATTTTTGTAAATTAAAAGTATCTTAAAAACTAAAAATTCATCATATGATTCAAGTTTAATTTTTTTCAACTACCTCCATTATTTTTTAATGTCGTGTGCATAAATTGCAGGAAAATACATTTTCTATTCATTTTACACTAATTTGTTTTGAAAGAAAAAAAGGGATATTCCAAGATTTTTTTCAACATTTTCATAATAGTATTACAATCTTTGGGTATCAAGAAGGGAAAACGTCATTTTTGATGAAGTTTATTGAAGGAAATATAATATTACATTTGTGGTTATCATTTATAACTATATAATGTGACGGTAAACGTCAAATTAGCGCTGATTATTTAGCTTAATTGCTGCCTGTGAGGGCAGCACCTGCCGGGGGGACGAAATTCGTAACTAAGGAATTCGGCACGCGAGCAGACGGAACGCGCGCGATTGAAACCGAACTAGTGAAGCTTAGACCATCGTTGTGTCCGCCCGCTTTCGCTATCGTTATCGCCGATTCACGAGCCATCAACGTCAACGCATCAAAACAGCAGCAGCCAGTTATCCGAGATTGTAGCCGCCAAGGTGCCATCCAGCTGCCAGTTCGAGGCCAGGACGAGTGTGTGTGTGAGGTTTCGCCATCGAGGGCGAAACCATAACGTGCACGAACTCGCGACTCGCGAAATAGACAATAGAAACTGTTCCGCTCTGTGCGAGTTATTTGTGTTTCCTCCGATCGCCTGCTATAATAAGGTAAGCTGGCCAGCTTAATTTCGCGATCGCGGTTGCGTGATTAATAATCAATTTCCAATATTCGAAGCGTGCATGTAACGGCTCTAACAACAAAGAGCAGCGAGCGTCCCGGCAATACGTGTTGCCGACGAGCGAGCGTCAATG